GCTGCAACTTCCTGATACCCCGTGCGCTGCGGGTAACCTTCCCGGGCCACGGCCGGGGCCGCCATGCCCGCCGCTGCCAGCAAAACCGAAACGACTCCACGCATCTCTCTTCTTCTCCTATTTCACTTTATGACGTTACGTTGTCATTTTGTGAAACACACGCAAGAGGCGAAAGATGCGACCGGCGATGCCGTTATTGAACATGCAAATCGGAGTGGAGACCGGTTTTGATGGGTTTCGTGGCGCCTGAATGACGCCGAAGCGCCTTATCCAGCCCCACTCCCGTGCTCTTTTCGCTACCTAACTCCGGCCCGCCAATCATTGGGGGGAACTCGAGGGCATTCCTCCCCGTCACGAAGAGAGGACCCAAGCGAAGCAGGCGAGAGATGTGTCGCCACTTGGTGGATGCCCGTTCAGGTGGCGCCACCTTCCGCCGGGTTTTTCGGCCTGCTCCCTCCTCACAGGGAAGAACGAAGCTTACCTGATGCTCTGAAGCGGCCGTTCCACGAACGGGCCGATCCACTTCACGCCATCCCTATTCCAATCACACTGTGCGCAAGCGACAGCGCAAATGCCCCAGCGGCGGGTCGGCTGTTTGAACCCCACCGGCGAACATCCATGCCAAGCGCCAACGTTCCTCGAACAGCGGCGCTCTCACCATCAACGGCCTTCAGGATAGGACACCCGCGCACATGCAAAAAAGGGCGGCCCTTTCGACCGCCCTTTTTCCGTCAACGCTTCGATCGGATCGATCAGAAATCGTTGCGATACTGCTCGTTGCCGATGAAGCCGAGCTTGCTGACCGCCGAGCGCTTGATGATCGCCGTGGTCTCGTCGACCTTGGCGTAATTGGCGTCGGGGGCCGGCTGGAAGTGCAGTTCCGGCTCGGGGTTTCATGGCAGCCGTCTGGTCCAGATACTGACGCAGCGTCACCTCGTCGACGGGCGACCCGTTCCAGTCACCGTGCCGGCGGCGTCGATACTGACCTTGTTCTTTTTCGGTATTCACGACCGGCGTGTTGTTCTTCGAGCTGACCGGCAGGTCGACCTTCACCGCGTGAGTCTGGATCGGGATGGTGATGATGAACATGATGAGGGAGCACGAGCATGACGTCGATCAACGGCGTCGTGTTCATGTCCATCATCGGCTCGCCATCATCGGATCCGGCGCTCATTGCCATGGCGTTAACTCCTTATTGTGTCCGCCCGGCCGATCAGGCGCGGGGTTGCCGCCGGGGGCGGCTCGGAAATGAAGCCGACACGGGCGAAACCGGCCTGCTGTATCGTGTAGATGGTGCCACCGATGCACCGATGGCGTATTCACGTCCCTGCGGATATGCGCCCCTCGGGCAGCGATCTGGGGTGATGTTGGCACCCAGCCGTCGACCTCGGCCTTCAGCTTGTCGACCGCGCGGTGCGCAGTTCGTCCGACGTGACGGGGGGCAGCCCCAATACACCTTGCACTGTCCGTTCTCGCTGGCGACCGAGAGCGATACATTTTCCGGCTTCGTCGTCGTCGGATCGAAGCGGACGCTCGGCAGCTTCAGCGGAACGGTCTGAATCACGACCGGAACCGCGATCAGGGGAAGATGATGAGAAGCACCAGCATGACGTCCACGAGGCGTCGTGTTGATCTCCGACATCGGTTTTCTCGGCGGAGTCACCGCCAACGCTCATCGCCAAGGAGAGTATTATCCATCCATGTATTCTATCACCGTCCCCAAATGGGGATCGGCGGGGGCGGCGGGGCCGTGTCCCGAGGGACCGGTCCCGCCCCTAAGGCTCAGGCGCGGGTCTGAACGCCACCAGCCTGACCGGCGGTGGTCGTCGCCGGGTCGCCTTGACGGCGGTCGGCTTGCGCAGCGGCGCCGAAGCGACGGCGGACGAACCACCGTTCGAGGCCGAAAGCCCAGAACGTCGTCTGAGAAGGACGACAGGTCTTCCGCGATGCTCTTGTTACGACGCTGCAGCAGTTGAAGGCGAGCACGGCGAACCGCGACGACCAGACCCAGCGCGGTCATGATGAGCGCCTTCACCGACCAGGCCGGCGACCGCGTCGATCGACGCCCCGGCCGACGAGCCGATCTTGACGAGCGCGCGGTAGATGCCGATAACGGTACCGAACAGACCGGATGAACGGCGGTCGCACCGACGGTCGCGAGGAAGGCGAGACCGCCGCCCAGCTTCGGAGTTGATCGCGGCTTCCGAACGCGCCAGCGAGCCGTGCAGCCAGTCATGCGCCTCGACCGGATCGGTCAGCTTCGAATGCTGGTCCTGCGCGGCCAGACCGTCGTCGACGATCTGCTTGTAGGCCGAGTTCTTCTCGAGCTTGGCCCGAACCCTCGCGCAGCGAGTTCGACGACCAGAAGCCTGACGGACGCGCTTGGCCTTGATGATCTTCTGCTGCTCGAACAGCTTCGAGAACAGGATGTAGAACGACACGATCGACATCAAGCAGAGGATGGTGAACACCGACTGCGAGATGAGGCCGCCTTCCTTCAGGGCCCCGCCGAGACCGTAAGGGTTTTCGGCACCGTCGCGGCGCCGCCCGCGGCGAGGATGGTGGTGAGTATGGTTGGTTAGGTCCTCTGACTAAAGCGTTGAGTTTTTGAACCGGCGTTTAGCCGTTATTCCTGTGGCAGCTGCCAACGAATGTTAAGCGTGTGCAGGACGAGGCGATCGGATTGCCGCCGGCGTCCCGGCCGGGTAAACGCACACGCGCGAGATGCGGCACGGCATCGTCCGTGGCCCGGTTGCCGCTGCTCGACAGGATCGAACAGTCGGTCACGCGGCCATCGGTGCCGATCGACAAGCTTCGCCGACGCGACCCTCGGCGCCTTTCGCGCTGGGCCGACGGCGGATAGGCGTCGGGACCGAAATACTGGCCCGGATTACCGCGAAGACCGGCGGCCTTCGAGATCGTCGGCGGTGCGGCGGCGCAGGCGGGGCCGGCGGCGCAGGCGGAGCCGGCGGTGCCAATCGGCTGGCTCAGCGGGATGATGCTCGTCGTCGTGACCGCGGGTGCCGGGACGGCACGTTCACGATCGGCGGCGGCGTGACCACCGTGGTCGGCGGCGGAGGCAGGTTGGGCTGCTCCGGCGGCGGGGGCGGCGGTTCGTCCGGCGGGGTGGGGCGGCGGCTCTTCCACGTTGAACGTGTCGAGTTGGTCGCCTTCACGTACTGGTATGCCAGTCCGTGACGAAGGCGTAGCCCAAAGCTGCGTGGATGAGCACGATAACGATCGCGACCACCTTGCCCCGGACATCTTCTGGTCAGTATAGGCCATTCAGAACGAAACTCCTCAGTCTGCCAGTTTCGCCTCGCCGTAGCGCGTGGGGATCGGGAAACTCCTGCCATGCTCTATCGGCACGCGGCAGAGCCTTGGGACCTATCGTGACGGCTGGCGCGGTGCAATCAGTTTGTCGGACGGGCCAAACGTACAATAGCGCCGACGAAAATTATTTCTGTATTGTTAACAATCGAAGGAGTAGCGCGACGCAATGAATCCCTGTCCCACGCCGTGTCCCGCGCCGTTCGCATCGGCGCCTTGACACTTCCTGATTCCGCCACCGCCATACCTGCCGCCGCGCAGTGGCGACCATGGCGTCGCCGCGCCCGGCGGATGCCCCCCCCCTTCCGCGTCCGGTCCCCGGCTATGCCATCTGGCCGATCTGGTGCTGTCACGCGCCCGTCATCGCCGATGTTTACCATCCGCTCAGCGACGGCGATCAAAGGGGCCGAGGCGGTCGGCGTGGCCCTGGCCACCAGCGCGCTTCCATGTCGAGGCCGATATCGGTGCGCTATTGCGCGGGCGGGGCGGACTGCCGGCGCGGTCGGCTATCTGTTCGATGCGGCGACCGATGCACGCGGCCGCGCGCCCAAGCTGCGCAAGATGCGGGTGCTGATCTACGCGCCCGGGTTCCCAACGCCCCGACCAGTTGCAGCTCGTCGCCCCCGACGCGCAGCTCCCCGACCCCGGATACCGAGCAGCGCAGCCGTGCGATCGCACGCGATGCCCCGTCACCTGATGCACCGCCGGTCATCACGGCGTCGGCAATGCCTTTTACGTGCTCCATCCTACCGGGCGAGGGCGAGACCCAGATTTTCCTGACCACGGCGAAGAACCGCCCTGTATCGCTGTCGGCGCTGCGCCACCGTGAGGAGCGCCGCTGGCCGTCGCGCTGAGGAGATCGTCGAGGGCGGCCAGAGCCGCCGGCGCGCGACACGTTACTTTGCACGCCTGGCTTGCGCCCTGGCCCGAATCACTGCCCGAACACAGCACGGCATCGCTATCGCCCGAAAATGCGCAGGCGGCGCGCGAAGACCATCAATATGTGATCCAGAAGCTCGCCCCTGCAGCCGGACGCGTCAGGTCCCGACCGCCAGCAACGACCCGTGACGGCGTGCGCGGCGGCGAGATAGAGACTGCCGCCGCGACCGCCTCGGCAGAAGCGTCCCGTGCCGGCACGACGGCATTGATCCGCGCCGCCAATGCCGCCGCGATCGCCAGCGGGCCGATCGCGGCTTCTGTCATCGCCTGAGCAACCGAATCGCGGCCGGGCATCAGCACGAGCACCAGATCGACGCCGGGATGCGCCGCGACCACCACGCGGATATCGGCATCCGGGGCAGATCGATAGCTGCGCGGCCATGGAGATTAGCGGCGGTGGCGGACCGGTGATGCCGATCGCCGCCATCCTCGGCGATGGCCAGCTGACGATCTTCACCTGCACGCGGCGCACGCGCTGGTCCTCGAGGAACAGCGTGTCGCAGATATGATCCGCAACCCCTTCGATCAGCGTGGAAATGCACGCCTTCGGGCAGCACTGTCGCGGCATGTTTCAGGTCGGAGATAGTTTTTTGGACGCGGTGAGCGGCGTGTCCGGCGTATAATGATCGGCACAGTCGAGATCGACGGTCAACGAAATCCGCAGCGGCTGCGGCAGATGCGTTTCTCGGAATAGATGCCGGTCAGGACCTGCACTTCAGAGGTCATGGACTTCAGAAAGCTGGAGACGGTCTTCCGCGACAGCAACACTCTAGCAGAGCGGGGCGGCCAAGGGAAGCACGGGCTTGCATCGCGCGCGACACGGTTAAGGGCGCGCGCGTCCCTATCCCGGCGATCGGACCCTGCCCTCTTGTCCCAGACGATCGATTCATTCCGCTCGACGCGGTCGCCCGGCCGCGGTCGAGGCCCTGCTCGACCGCGCCTTTCCGCCTGGGCGGCAGGCGCACCGCCCTGGGTGCGGGATCGGTGGCGCCGGTGGACTTTTTTATGCTTCGCGGCGCTGACCGAGGACGGCACGTTGATCGGGTCGGATCCAATGCTGGCCGATCGCGCTGACCGATGATGATGGCGAACACTGGCCGTTGATCGCGATCGGCCTGTCGCGGTCGCGCCGGAATATCAGCGCGACGGGATCGGACGAAAGCTGTTCCTCCACATGTTGGCCGCCGCACAGACCGTGGGGCTGGACCGGCGATGATGCTGATCGGCGACCCGGAATATTATAGCCGCTTCTTCGGCTTTACGGCGGAGCGTACCGCGCGGTGGCGGCTGCCCGGCCCCGTCGAGCGGCACCGCCTGTTTCGCGCGCGGCGCGAGCGTGCCCGACCGGGCGGAATGCTGGGCCCCGGCCTGCCGCAGACCAAGCCGGCATCGCTGGGCTTTACGGGCCCGCCTCAGCTCCCTACCGGACAGATCATGCCCATGGCGCCGCCCCCCGACCTGTCCTCCTCAGCTCGCCCGAAATCGTGCGCGCGATGGAAGCGCAAAAGCGCTGCCCCCGTGTCGCAGTGGAACCCAGCCAGCCATTGCGGCGGCGACAGCGAGATACGGATCGCGCGCGACGCACCTCGGTATCATCAGGGCAGCCCGATCGGCCGTGCCGCGATGGTCCGCTGTTCTCCGATCCTGCGTCGCAGGCCCGATGGTCAGTATGTTGTCACACCGTCGAAAAGCTCGACATCGCGGTAGAGGACGCGCCCTTCGTCGCGGTCGCGGTCAAGACCGAGGGCGAAGGTCACGACAGCCGGCTGGTCTTCCAGCTCAACACCAGTGATCTCGTCGCGGCGGATGCCGACCATGGCCTGGTTCCGGAAGGCGAGGACGGCCCACCCCCCATCTTCATGTCCGCGACGGGCTGGAAACGCTGATCGCGCGGCCGGTCTATTATGAACTGGCCGAACGCGCTCTGGCGGGAAGACGAACAGGCGCCGGGCCTGTGGGTAACGGCGCCTTCTTCCGCTCACCACCTCGAACGCCGCATGACACTCGCCGAAAGGCTGGCCGAGGCGATGGCGCGTATCGGTCGGCAGGCTCTGACCGGCGACGGCGTCGAGAGCCATGAGATTACGATCGCCCCTGACCGCCGCGGCGGTGCTGGTGCCGTCACCGATCGCGCCGAGAGCCGGGCGTGGTGCTGACCCAGCGGACCGAGGACGTTGCGCAATCATGCCGGTCAGATCGCTTCCCGGCGGTCGCGCCGATCCCGGCGATGCCGATCTGGCTGCAACCGCATTGCGCGAAGCGGAGGAGAGATCGGCTTCCCCACGCGCTGTTACCGTCATCGGACTGGCCGACCGTCGCACCGTTACCGGATTCGAGGATGACGCCGGTCACCGGTGTCATCCCCACCGGACATGACGCTACACGCCCTTCCGAGGCGGAGTCGCCAACCTGTTCGAGGTGCCGTTGGCCCTATCTCCTCGATCCCTGCCCATCACCGCCAGGTCAGCGCGCCGCGGCGCGACGGACCCGCCATTTTGCTGGAGATTCTATGGAACGACCGGCGCATCTGGGGCGCGACTGCCGCGATGATCGTCAACCTGTCGCGGCGGCTGCAATGGGCATGAACCCGCCACGCGCCCTGGGCGGATCGTGGCGACCTGATCGCGCTTCGCCGCCACGCTGGAGGCGCGATTCGTCGGCGGTGCCGTGCGCGATCGTTGCTCGGTCATGCGGGTGGCTGATATCGATCTGGCCACGCCGCTCTCGCCTGAACGGTGATCGCGCCGTTGCGCGACAGCGAAGTTCGGCCTGTGCCGACCGGCATCGCGCACGGCACGATCACCGCCGTCCTGCTCTGGATGGCCTGGTCGAGGTCACGACGCTGCGGCGCGACGTATCGACCGGATGGCCGCCACGCCGTGGTCGCCTTTACCGATGATTGGCGCGGGGATGCGGCGCGGCGCGATCCCGATGAACGCGCTCTACGCCGATCCCGAGACGGGCGCGCTGTTCGACTATTCGGGGGCTAAGGACCTGAAGGCTGGACGCGTCCGCTTCATCGGCGATCCGTTGCAGCGTATTGCCGGCGGATCACTTGCGCATCCTGCGCTTCTTCCGCTTCCATGCCCGCTTCGGCCAAAGGATCGACCGTGGGCCTCGCCGCCCTGCACCGCCCGCGCCAACGACCTGATGGCCTGTCGCGCGAGGCGATCGCGCCGAACTCGCTCGGTGCTGGTCGCGCCGGGCGCGCGGTGCGGTCATCGCGCTGATGGTCGAGCGCGGTATCCTGCGCGCGGTGCTCCCCGAGATCGATGCGGCAGGAGCCGAGCGGCTGGCGATGCTGGCCGAGCGCGAGCAGGCGGCTGATCGCCGCCGATCCCATCCGCCGACTGGCCGCATTGCTTCCGCTGCGCAGACCGCCGAAGCCGTAGGGGCGCGGCTGAAATTGTCCATGTCGATCGCGGCGGCTGATCGCCGCCACCGCCGGGCCAGGTGAAGAAGGCCCGCGCGCGCTGGCCTATCGCGTCAGGATCAAGGGACGCGATCGACCAGCTGCTGCTGGCGGGCGAAACGGTAAAGGCCATCTGCGACTGGACACCTCTCCCCGCTGCTGACCGGCGGGGCTTTCTGGTGGCGCGTGGCATCGGCAAGGGGCCGGAGGTCGCGCGGCTGTTGCGGCAGGTCGAGACCCGGTGATCGCGAGGGGCTTTCAGAAGCGCGTCGCCGAACTGGCCGACGCGGCGGTGGCTCAGGCCCCGCTGCGATCATCGCCGTGCGGCATCGGGATCGAGTGGGCAGGCATAGACGCAAGCCCCACCCGTAGGTGCAACCAGCGCGGCCAGCGTCTGGCCCAGTTCGACCGTTTCGATCCCCTCGGCGGTGGTCTTCGCCCAGTGCCTGCGCTGCCAAGAACCGCGCGCACGATGGCGATCTTGTCCCGGATCGGCCAGCATGCCGGAGACGAAGCTGCGATCGATTTTGAGCACATCGATGGGCAGGCGTTGAAGATAGGCCATGCTGGAATGGCCGGTCACCGAAATCGTCCATCGCCACCGTCGCCCAGCGCCTCAGCGCCCACATCCCCGTGACGCGGTCCGGATCGCCGACGATCGCGCTCTCGGTCAGCTCCAGCGTCAGGCGATCACCGCTCCAGCCCCGTCCGCGCAGGGCCCGTTCGATCACATCGGGGAATGACGTCGCGCTGCAACTGATGGCCGAGACGTTCACCGACATGCGTATCCCGCATGTCCCCCCGCCCTGCGATCCCATTCGGTAAGCTGCGTCAGCGCCCGGTCGATCGCCCAGCGGCCCAGCGGCACGATCAGCCCCGATCCTTTTCGGCGACGGGATGAAGTCGGAGGGCAGATGATCGCACCCCTCGGCATCGCCACCGCGCCAAAAGCCTCCCGAAGGCGACGACCTGCCCGACGTCAGGTCACAGATGGGCTGATAGGCCGATGCAGTTCTTCACGGTCGATCGCGTGGCGTAGCGCGGTTTCCATCGCGAATTGTGCGCGCGATGGTGAAGGCCTCCAGGGTGATAGACACAGGTGCGCCCGGCGCTCTTGGTCTGCTTCACCGCGAATTGCGCATGGCGACACCTCGGCATCGCCGTCCTGTCGCTGCCAAAGCGATGCCGATCGACCCTTCGACATTGACCTCGAAATCGGTGAGGCGGAAGGGTGCAGAAGGCCCGCCTGATCCGCTCGGCCGTGACATGCGCCTCGTCCTCGCCGCCATCGATCATCATCAGGACGCCGAACTCGCCCCGGATCCGACCGATCAGATCGCGCGCGAGCGCAACGCCCCTTCAGCCGGCGTGCGACCGTGATCAGCAACTCGTCGGCGACCAGCGAGCCCATACAGGCGTTCAGCCGCCCGAAGCGGTTGAGATCGACGACCAGCACCGCATAAGGGTGACGTCGCCATCATCATTTCGGATCAGGTCGCCGTGCCCCTGCCGGTTGGGCAGGGCCAGTCAGGCTGTCGATCGTCATTTCGCGGCGCAGGCTGCGCTCGGTATAGTGCGTTGAGCGGTATGGTCGACGAGCATCAGCACGAAACTGTCGGGCCATCCTCCGCCGATCGGGCCAGCGTCGCCCGGAAGTAACGACGGGTCGATCACATCGCCGAACGCGATCCAGAATTCGATCGATTCGCGATCCGAATTTAAAAATTCGCCCAGACGCGGCGTCAGTTCGTCGATCAGAATCGGCAGGCCGCAGCCGTTCAGCCCGGCGCGGCGAAAGGCTTCATTGGTGGTGATGATGACCGGCCGACCATCGACCCGAGGCGATTTCGGCGGCGGGGATCGCCGCGATTCCCACCGCGCACGGACGTAAGCGTAGCGTCGCGCGTCGAAGGGCGCGGCGTGGATAAGCGATCGAAGCCATCGCCACATGGTGTAGCGGCCAGAAGGTTAAAGGCCCTAAATCCGCGCAACGATCGTATCCAGAAACGGTTTCAATCTGCCGCTTCTTTACGCCGCCTCGAAACGGCATTGCTTCCCGGGCGATCAGCCGAACCGATTGTCGCGCGGAAAGCCGGTCGGCGGCATCCGCCCAGCCGCGCCGCGTGCGATGCGCCGGCGGACAGATCGCCTCGGTCATGCCGACCAGTCTCGCCGCCCATCGGCCAGCTCAGCCCGTCGACTTGAAGACGAAGGTCGTCGCGTCGGACAGCCGCCATCGCGATAGCGCTGAAGCTGGACCCCGTTCCGCGCGCGACAGCTCGACGAACTCGGTCAGGGAAGACGAGGTTGCGATTGTCGCCGATCGCCGCGACACCATCGTCCTCCGCCCCACCGGGCGCGACCTTCAGACTGGCCCCGCGCGGTGGCACCGTCTTCCTTTTCGCGTCTCGGCAATGGTGTCGGCGTCCCGGCGAAGCCACGTCCGTCCGACGCCGCGACCAGCAGCTTGGCGGCGCGGGCGGCGGCAGGAAGCCGACGATGCCGGGATCGATCCGTCCAGTCGATCATCATCGCCGCTGGCTCCCCGAAACCGCGCCACCGGCAGCTTTGTCGGTCGCCAGCGTGAAGAACCGCCCGTTCGCCGCCGCCAGCAACAGCTTTGTCGGTCGTCTGCGCGTGAAAGGCAAAAAGGCCAGGCCGTCGCGGCTTCCTTGAACTGCCGTCTCGGCCGAGGCGAGATCGACATGCCTCATCGCGCGAATCCGCCGCGCTGCGGCTGGGATGACGGTGATCGGCCTGCGTCGATCATCGCCTCGAGCGGGATGTCGCGGGTCGGCGCGGCTTCCTCGATCAGCGTGCGGCGTGCGCCGAGTGGTCTCCAGACCATAAGCGGTCGCGGATCTTGCCCAGATCCTTCTTCATCCGCGTCCGTTGCCGCTGCCCGAGCCGAGCACTGGGTCAGTTACTCGCGCTCCTTATCGAGCTTGTCGCGCTCGCCGCAGATCCGAACTCCTCCAGCCGCCGCAGAGAGCGCAGCCGCATGTTGAGGATCGCCTCGGCCTGCCGATCCGTCCAGACGGAATTCCTCGATCATCACCGCCTTGGGCTCGTCACTCGGTGCGGATGATCTCGATCACCCGGTCGAGGTTGAGATAGGCGACCAGATAGCCGTCGAGCAGCTCGATCCGATCGGCGATCTTGCCCGAGCGATGTTCCGGAGCGCCTGCGCAGCACGACGAACTGATGCTCGACCGAGGCCGCCAGCGCCTCGCGCAACGACATGACGCGCGGGGTGCGGTCCGGTCGAGGACATTGAGTTCAGGCTGATCCGCGTCTCCAGATCGGAGAAGCGGAACAGCCCATCCATCAACACCTGCGGATCGACGGTACGGCTGCGCGGCTCCAGCACGATGCGGACCTGCGCATCCGTTAAATCACGCACATCGGCTGAATCAGCAGTTTCTTGTCGTTGATCAGCGTTGCGATCTGTTCGATCAAACATTGGCGACGCCGTAGAATTTCGCTGACCACGATCTGCCAGCCGCCCTTTTCCCGCTCGATCTCCCAGCGCGCGGACGCGGAAACCACCGCGCCCCGTCGTGTAGCTCTCACGCAGGATCGCGGGGCGCATCATTTCCACGATGCCGCCGGTCGGGGAAGTCCGGCCTTTGACACGCGCCAGAATCGCATCGTCATCCGCATCGGGATGGTCGACCACGATCGCCGCGTCAGGCAATTCCCCTTCAGCGGCGTTGTGTGGCGGGATGCTGGTCGCCATGCCGACCGCGATGCGCTCGCGCCGTTCGCCGGCTTTCAGATTAGAACAAAATCGAAAGAGCTCGGGCCCTGCTCTTCGCCATTATAGGTCGGGCGATAGCGACGGCATCTTCGTCGAGGCCATCCATCGGGTCGATCGCGACCTGGGTCAGCCGTGCTCGGTATAGCGATGATAGCGGCGGCGTTGTCGCCGTCGATATTACCGAAATTCCCGCCCGTCGACCAGCGGATAGCGCAGCGCGAACTTGCGCGAGGCGGACCATCGCGTCACAGACCGACTGGTCGCCATGCGGGTGATATTATCGATCACGTCGCTGACGACGCGCGCGCACTTCTTATAGCCGCCTGCCGCCGGATCGAGCTTTGAGCAGCCGCATCGCCCAGAGCAGTTGCCGATGCACGGGCTTTCAGCCCGTCGCGCACATCGGGCAACGAGCGCGCGGTGATCGTGGACAGCGCATAGACGAGGTAACGCTCCGACAGCGCACTGTCGAAAGGTGCGTCGGATGCCGACAGGAGGATTGTCACGGAGATCGATCGCCATGGGGCGCCGCTTCTAGCAAGCCCACGCCCGGGGCAATCCGGCGGATCAAATCAGGAACACGCACCCTTCGATACGACAAAGCGGGCGCGATGGAATCGCACCCCTGCTTCGATCGCGTTTCAGCCCGGTCGGCTTATGACTGGTTCGCACGGGCCTGCGTCACATCCTGGAAGTGATTGCCGGCGCGACCGTGCAATTCTGAAGGCGACGGGCGTGAAGGTTTCGACACCAGCGACTTCCTCATCGGTCACGGGGCTTGCCCTTCTTGGTGTGGGCGGGCGCGAGGCGGCGACTTCAGGACGGAACGTTGCCGGGGACATCGGCGGTGTCGCGACACGACCGTCCGCTCCTTGTGCCGTTCTTCACGACCGCGATTGCTTCCATGCCATTGGCCAGCCCAGGACATGCCTGCTCCCAGATCTGCGGCCCTTGCGCCGCATGCATCAACCGCGCGACAGCAACACCCGCCGTCAGCATCAGGGCCCCCACCCACAACACCGATCATCAGCTTGTTCGACTACCTCCTTTGCAAGCATAGACAGAACCCATGACTTGGGCGATCGGTTTCCAGTACTTTCCACAACTTAACGATTTTCATATTTCATTGAAGCATTGGCCATGATGTACATTGGATTACAGCGACGACATGTTGCACATCTGCCTGCATCCTGTCACAACCGGGCCTACCGGAACCGGCTCGATGACGTGCCACATTCCATTGCGCCGGCCCGCCCCCTTCCTTATAAGCCGCGCCATCCCCGCCTCGGGCCTCAGCATGTGGGGCGCAGGGCTGTACTCATTCAGGGGACCGCCGCATGGCTCGCCGCCGCCAAATCTACGAAGACGAGGCAGATCCTGTACAGGGGCCCCAGCCCATACGCGCTGATCCAGTATTTCAGGGGACGACGCCACCGCGTTCAATGCCCAGAAAAGGGCACGATCAGCAGCAAGGCGTGCTTTGAACAACCGTATCTCGAGCATGTCTTCACCATGCTCGACCATATCTGACGTGCCGACCCGCTTCATCCGCCGCCTGAACATGCGCGAGCAGGTGATCCGCCGAGGTGAATCGATGCCGATCGAGGTCGTTAGTGCCTGCAACGTCGCAGCGGGCTCGCTATCCAAGCGTCTGGGCATCGAAGGGGCGTGCGGCTGCCCACGATCATCGAATGTGCCACAAGGACGATGCGCTGGGCGACCCGATGGTCACCGACAGGAGCATATCGCCTGCTTCAGCTGGGCCAGCGGGGAAGAAATGCACGACATCGCCGATCTGGCGATCCGCGTGAACGACTTCCTGTCAGGCATGTTCGCCGCGATCGGCATCCACTGGTCGTTTCCAAGCTCGAGAATTCCGGCCGCATGCGGGACAGCGACTGGTCGCATCATCACGCCGACAAGGATCAGCCCCGATGGCTGCCGCCTGTGGGACATGACCACCAACGAAGCTGGACAGGATCGCTGCCGGGATCTCGGCGGCGAGGTCAGCCTATCAGGGAGTAGCGCGCCGTCTGGGCCTGCTGCCCGGAGAGGCGACACGCCGTCCCTCGATCTGGAAGAACACCGCAGAGCCGGGGCAAGTAATGGAAGCTGAAGATTTCGTGACCCTGAAGCCCGGCGTGCTCGACCCGCAGGTGGGCGATCCAGCACGCGCTGGGCGGCGGCGGGCTTTGAGGCGTCGATGACGTGCGCGCGGGCAAGCTGATCCGAGATGCAGGTCGCCGATGAGACGACCGACGCGCAGATCGACGAATGTGCCGCCAGCTCCTCGCCAACACCGTGATCCCGAAATTACCGGGTGGAGCGCGCCCGATGAAGACCGCCGTGATCGTCTTTCCGGGCTCGAACTGCGACCGCGACCTCGCCGTCGCGCTGGAGAACATTGACGGGCGTCAAGCCGGCCATGGTCTGGCACGGCGACAGCGAACTGCCGAGGACTGGGGCTGATCGGCGTTCAGGCGGCTTCTCGTGCGGCGATTACCTCCGCTGCGGCGCGATCGCGGCCGCTCGCGATCATGCGCGCGGTGGTCGATGCAGCCAACAAGGCACGCCGGTGTTCGGTGTGTGCAACTTCGGTGCTGGCCGAAACCGGGCTGTTGCCGGAGCGCGCGCTGATGCGCAACCGCTCGCTCAACTTCGTGTGCCGCGACGTGAACACAGGAAGTAGCCAACACCGACAGCGCCTTCACCCGGCTGTACGACGAAAGGCGAGACGATCCGCATTCCCGTCGCGCATCATGACGGCACTTACTTCGCCGACGCGAGCACGCTTGACCGTCCTAGAAGGCGGGCCCGTGGCCTTCGCTATGCCGAGGACGTCAACGGCTCGCCCGCAACATCGCAGGCGTGCTGAACGACATCGCAACGTGCCAGGCATGGATGCCCACCCCTGAACGCCGCATCCGAAGCCGCGCACGGCGACCATAGCCGCCAGTTGTTCGAAGGCCTGTTGGAGATGGTGGGGGCGTAATCCCACCCCGCCGTTCAGCCTGAGCGAAGTCGAAGGCCACGGGATGACATTTGACAGGGGGGCAGGGCAACCGCTTCCCTTTTTCGCCCTACGCGAAACCCCTCAGCTGCAAGCCGCAAGCCGCAAAAGCCGCAAGCCGCCAAAGAAGATGTTTGTTCGCGCGGAGACGCGGAGGTGTCCTACGCGGCGGACGCCGCATACTTTGCCTTGGCAAGAGGAAGAAGGAATACGGTCTCCAAGAGACCAGACACCTCCGCGTCTCCGCGAACCCAATTCAAACTGCTTCGCGCCATCGCGGCTTTGCGTGAACTCAACCCCGAGCGGAACGTGTAAAGTCCCGTCCTCGTCCAAACACGTCCACTCCTCGGCGCGCCCAGGCCAGCCGACGATCAGATAGGGTCACGGGGTCAGCACATACCTCCCAACCCACCTTCAGCGCCCATTGCGTGAACAACACCACGATCACCAGATGCGGCGTCCACCCCCACCGCGCCCCAGAAGGCGGCGCGGATGAAAGATCAGGCTGTCCACCCTGCCCCACCGGGGTCGAGCTGATCGTCCGCGACCAGAATGCCGCCCGCCGGTCCACACCTTCATCCGCGCCATGACATAGGCATTGGCGAATTCCCCCCCGCCAAAGCGCAGACGCTGGCCAGCACGATGCGCGGCACTGTCCGAAGTCACCTCGCCGACGGCCTGGTTCGTCCAGCTCGGCGCTGGGGCAGCGCGACTAATGACGAAGCCTCAAGGAACGCCATGAACAGCACCGCCGTCCCCGCCCAGAATCACCGCCGCGCCCGGGCATAGCCATAGACCTCGGTCAGCACATCGCCGATGACATAGCTCAACGGAAAGAACAGGATGCCGCCCGAACGGCCAGTCATACCGACCAGCAGGGTGATGACCGCGACCTTGCCTGCACCGATCACGTTGGAAGCAAGAGGATGGTGACGAAATCGCCGCCATGACGAAGTTGAACCAGCGAAACGCCGCCTGTTCCAGATCGCGTGCCGGGACCGCCTGCTCCCATTGGTTCATGCCCAGTCCCTTTCGCTTCTATCACCCTGACATTTATCGCCATTCCCTTTGGGGCGCAAACCACGCTAAGGACGCAATGTTCGCGCGTCCGTAGCTCAGCTGGATAGAGTGCGGAGCTTCTACCTCCTATCAGTCTGGTCCCCTCCGGCAACAAATCAAAATTTCTTTCCGGTGACACCGGCTTTTATGACCAGTTCCCGAGTGAACCGGCAATTCCT